CACTCCTTATTTTTGTGGTTGTAGGTTTAAAATTTTTTAAGTGTTGTGCTTTAATGTTGTAACCAACCCTGGGACCCTAGGGTGAAGGGTAGGTGGGAATAATAATAATAATAATAATAATAATAATAATTAATAATACTTGGATATGCCGGGGATGAAATTTGGGACCTTTTGCATGTAAAGCAGATGCTCTACTACTGAGTTATGGACCTTCCCCAAAGCAGTGCTATTTAGTGATACCTGGGAAAGGTAATATTCTTTCAAGTAAATTTGTATTAATTTCTTTACCTTTTTTTTTTTTACACGTTACATGTTTGCATGCTACCCCCACTTGTATTTGGTTAGTCTTTCAGTGCTTTTTCTGGGGGTACTCAAGGTTACAAAGTACTGTCACCTTTCCCCCCCAATGTTAAAAGAGTAGCACTTACTGTAACAATTTCATGGTGAGTCGACCGGCGCTGGTCTTTAGGGCAACTCCTTCAGGCATATATTTTACAAGCCTTATCTGAAGATGCATGCAAAGTTTCACAGTGAAGGTTCATATTCTTGATAAGGTTCCAGAGATACACGGACATTCGTTAAATACGCACACACACCTTAAAATGAATGTATAAAAATAGTAGTATTGGTGTGACCATTGTGTCCACACTAATCAGCTGGATGGAATGGGGAGCTGAAAGCCAAGAACATGGGAAAAGCTTTGAAATCAGATTAATGTGTGTTGATTTTCAATTTCTAAGGTTCAGATTTTCTCCTCAGTAGTGGATGTTTCCTTGTTTACAGATACAGTGTCAGTGTGTCATATTAGTATTTGTATATTGTTAAAAGGGCGTATCTGCATCTTTAATGATTATTCCTTCCTTATTGCTGTTGATTCTGGTGCCAGTTTTATGGATTCATTTGTATCACCTGGGTACAAAATGTCTTTTTATTTCCTTCAGTTCCATGTTCATCTGTTAGAGATTCAGTATAGAGGCTCAGAGAAGACCAAAATATTGCCCTCCTATTAATACGCATAAGTTAGACCACAGTGCACTGCAAACTGAGTAGGAGTAAAAACATGTGATTATTATCTGTGAAGGAGGGTGCCTTCCTATGTGTTTTGTACATGAATAAGCATAACTGATTCTATCACTTTAAAAAGTGATAGATAAAATTATATCTGATGATTTTAAAAACTTTTTTTTGTCCCAAGCTTTCCCTAAATAAGGCCATGTAATGATTCTTCTGCATAAATGATTGTTTTGGAATAAACGAGGGAAGGGAAACAGGTGGAATACCAAACGTAGATTGTAAGTCTTGCACTGTTGCTCACTGCTCTCACTTTCTGTGTTACAATTAGATATTAAAAAGTGATCCAGTATGTACCTTCACATGGAGTCATGTGAGGATTAGTAATCTCTTTAATTTTTTTTCTGTGAACAGGGTTAGTAGTCATACACCTATGAACAGATTCAGGTAGGTCTGACACAGTCGAAATAAATAAAAAATTGTCCAGTAGCACCTTAAAAAAGGTAAAAGGTAAAGGACCCCTGACAGTTAAGTCCAGTCGCAGATGACTCTGGGGTGCGGCACTCATCTCGCTTTACAGGCCGAGGGAGCCGACCTTTGTCCGCAGACAGTTTTTCCAGGTCATGTGGCCAGCATGACTAAGCCGCTTCTGGCGCAATGGAACACCGAAACCAGAGCAGCGCATGGAAACGCTGTTTACCTTCCCACCAGAGTAGTACCTATTTATCTACTTGCACTTTGATGTGCTTTTGAACTGCCAGGTTGGCAGGAGCTGGGACTGAGCAACGCTAGCTCAACCTGTCACAAGGTTTTGAACCGCCGACCTTCTGATCGGCAAGCCCAAGAGGCTCAGTGGTTTAAACCACAGCGCCACCCGTGTCCTTAGAGACCAACGAAGTTTGTTCTGGGTATAAGCTTTCGTGTGCATGCACACTTCTTCAGTTACACTGAAACAGAAGTCACCAGACCCTTATATATAGTGGGAGGGTGGGGTAGGGTTTTTCCTCAGAAAAAACCATCTCCTACTACCCTCCTGAGAAAAACCCCACCCCACCCTCCCACTATATATAAGGGTCTGGTGACTTCTGTTTCAGTGTATCTGAAGAAGTGTGCATGCACACAAAAGGTAATACGTACCCAGAACAAACTTAGTTGGTCTCTAAGGTGCTACAGGACAATGTTTTATTTATGTCGCCTATGAACAGAGTTAACCTCAGCCAATAGTCCTGTTCACCAATGAATCCAGGAAGTCCCAATGTCCCTGTACACCATTTTCATGTGCAGGCACATTTTTTTTTTTTTAATGTTCCATTCTGCTACCTATGAGCATATAACGTTATATGGCCTTAGAACGTTATGTGATAAGTGGGTCCTTTTTTTTATAGGTTGCTTCTTTTCTGCCCCTTACTGCTCTAAATCATATCTTTCTGAAATCTTTACCTAAAACTTTTGTTGCTGTCACTTTCAGTTTAATACATGAGAAATGCTGTAATGAGTCTTGTACCAAATCGTTTGTGTACTACCAAACCCGGCAACGTAGCCTCCTTGGAAGGTTGCTAAACATCCCAAACAGATGCTTATACATCAGTTTTCTTAATCTCTTTCAAGAATCTTTGCGTGAGTTAAAGAAAACCAAGTATCTTAATAAAAATAGCAATGGGGGCTGGGAGGAATTGTGTGTGCAGTACTTGCAAAAGAGCTTACTATAAGGAAAGTGAAGTCCTGGTACTAATAGCAAAAAAAAAATAAATCATGTTTTTGCTATTTATTTTTTGCCGTTTGGCATGTTGACTCAGAGAGAAAGTCCTCAGACAATTTGTTTGTTGTGCTTGGATCATCACGGGGTCTATTAGATCATCTAATTGAAAAGAAACTACTTTGTTATGCTGGCACCTCTCCAGTAATTGTTTGTGCCAGAGCCAAAAAAAACTGCCTGTAACAAAAGTCTACTGCATAGCTTTTAATTGTGATCCTGGGTTCTGATGTTGAAGCAGTTCAGATGGACCACCAAACCATGGTTTGGGCATTACATGTCCTAGCCTTGGGTTTGCATATTTCTGGGGTTTTGGTCTTGCTTTCCAGTTCTGGTTTGCAAGTGAACTCCAAACCAATGTTTGAGTGATATCGTGAACTGTGGTTTGCCTCTAAGAAGGAAAGATGAGAGAAGAGCAAAGTACAGCAGCTGATGTATCTGGCCTGGTTGATCTTGTTGGCTTATCAGCGAGTCATAAAATAGGTTTTATGAAATGTTTTAAAAATATTTACAAGCCACCAAACATCATATTCAATACAAAACAGATAAAACCTTTATTTAAATAATCATTAGATAGTGGCCATCCTTCTGGGAAATTAAAAAGCTTTTAGCATATAAAAATGCAAAATGATAATAATAATAATGTTCTACAGGACCTAGTCCAAATCACCATAGAATCAACCTCCAATGTATGTGGCATCGTGGAGCCCTCTGCAGATGGTTGCAGTGAACAGGCAATGAATAAGGTAGCCTTCTTGTGTATCGCTTCACTGTTTGTGGGGGGGACATTTGTTTTGCAATAGGAAAAATGCACAGCCTGATTCCAGTAGACAGTTCTAACCCTGGGAATTTCATTCTTATGTGCCTTTGGAATACCTCCTAGAATACACCTTAGTTTTTATCAGTCCATTGCCTGAGTGTTTCACCTTGTTTTCATTGTTGATCCTCTTTACTCCTGTTACAGTTTAGTTTTAATAATGTTGATTTAAAAATAATAAATAAAAATTGCGTTTTCCCATTTTAGACATTAATTGGCATTTCAAATATACTCTTGTCCTGGTGTCCCTAAGAAGATAAGCTTAGATCAGCTAAGTAGGATTATCCTGCGGATAAGCCCCTGCAGGACCTCAGGCAGGGTGGTAGCAGGATCTAACCCTGCAATTGAGCTGGTATTTAAGCAAGGTTCAGGCAAGAGAAGGCATTAAAAATTTTTTCATGTGCTTCACACCCATCACCAGTCATGTATGGATGTGTAAATACCAAGATAGAACAAGACAGGAGGACACTGCATCCATGCAGCCTGGGTGGTTCCAGGCAGAATCTGACCATGCAGAATGCTGGTTTATGGTTTGCTTGGGAAACCGAAAAGGAATGTAATGGCACCTTAAAAAACAGATCTATTGGTTTGTAAGATTTTGTGGAATGGATTCCAGTTTAATGTATATGTAATGTGTACATTGGGGATGCGTGTGGCGCTGTGGGTTAAGCAACAGAGCCTAGGACTTGCCGATCAGAAGGTCGGCGGTTCGAATCCCCGCTCTCGTTGCTCGGTCCCTGCTCCTGCCAACCTAGCAGTTTGAAAGCATGTCAGAGTTCAAGTAGATAAATAGGTACCACTCCAGCGGGAAGGTAAACGGCATTTCCATGGGTTGCTCTGGTTCACCAGAAGCGGCTTAGTCATGCTGGCCATGACCCGGAAGCTGTACGCCGGCTCCCTTGGCCAATAAAGCGAGATGAGCGCCGCAACCCCAGAGTCGGTCATGACTGGACCTAATGGTCAGGTGTCTCTTTACCTTTAATGTGTACATTGTGGGACAAATATGTATGATCTCCACAAAAGAAAAATAAATTTGTATTCCTGAGCTTTGTCATCCAAAAATAAATCTGATTGAAGAGGATCCTGTCACTTTTGTTATGAAGCACATTGAGAATAATACAGTTGACAAAAGTTAATAGCCTGTTAAAAAAAGTATATGCTTCAGATAGCTGGCATCGCTCCTACGACGGCTCAGTAGAGGAAAGGTTTTCCTTGCTCTGGCACTTGGCTTAGGTTCTATGCTGGCCACAGAGGTGGGACGAAACACCTCATCTCTCCTCTGCCTATTTGCTCAGTCACCTGCGTACAATTCTAGGTTGCCTATGGCTACCAGGCTAATACTTAAGTACAAGGCTGGTAGAATCATAGATTTGTAGAGTTGGAAGGGACTACGAGGGTCCTCTAGTCCAATCCCCTGCAATGTAGGAATCTTGGGACTTGAGTCCACGACCTTGATATTAAGAGTCTCATGCTCTACCAACTGAGCTATCCCTCATTTCATCTGAACCAGGAGATGCTGTGGTCTTGAACTGGTGCCTGGAAGTATTGATATATTTGATGGGGAAAGAACGAACAGGTATTGAATGAGTGTGACTTTATCTTTGAGAGAATATACTAGGTTTATCAGTGGTAAACAAATTATTTCTTGTTTTTAAGCCCTGCCTGAAGACAAAATTGCCACTCCCATCCCCTTCTGCTGGTAAAGACCTAGTCTGATAGTTGTCTATTCAGTCTCTCCTTTCAAGTCACCTTTCATGACAACCAGATTCTGATTTGGACTTAAATTACTCTCTTTCTTCACCAAATCAGAAACCTAGCATTGCACACATTAAGATCAACTAGTCAAACATTCCTGTAATTATATGTCAGAACATAGATGGCTAACTTCAAATAACATTATATTTTTATCATGTTGCAGATAATTTAAAACAGATCCCAGACTGAGGCTATAAAAGTTCTTCTGTTTCAGTGGAATTGGGCTGATAGGGCACAGGTGAAGTGGCTCTCTGGTTTTACATGAGTAATGTATTTATATAGAAAATTGCTCGTGCTTCACATCCCTCACTGATCACCTGATTAATGAACACTTGTCTTTGTGAAGCATCTCTGTACTAAGGAAACCCACTGCAAATTGGGGCTTCTCACTGTATGTTCGCAGGTCGTAATTGGCATGTGTTAATCATAAGTAACCACAGAATTCTAGACTTGGAAGGGACTCCAAGGATCATATACGAGGAACATGATATTTCATACCCAGAATTTTCCATGTTGGAAGTTTTGCCGTTTATAAACATCTCTTTGTCACTGAAACAAGCACACCACAAAATTCTATTATCTTTTTTTTTTTTAATAAGATATTTATTAAGATTTTTTAAAATATTACAATAAAAAATGAAAAAGAAAAAGAAAATACAAAATAAAAATGATTAAAAACCACTCAATTTTTCCATTACTTATTTTTCCTTAACTTGTTTCCCGGACCTCCCCATACCTCCCTTTTTTGTATTCCAGTTCAATTTGTTGGTTCAGCAAATCCTTACCCTCTTTGTTTATCCTAATCTTTGGTCTTAAAATAGTAACGTTAGATTTCTACCTATTAACAACCCATTTTTCATATTCCCTTAAAGCATTACAGCTGGAAACCACTTAATTTCTATCCAACATCATTCTAACATTCATTAATTTTACAATATTTCTGTAGATAGTCTTTGAATTTCTTCCAATCTTCTTCCACCGACTCTTCTCCCTGGTCTCGGATTCTGCCAGTCATTTCTGCCAGTTCCATATAGTCCATCAGCTTCATCTGCCATTCTTCCAAGGTGGGTAGATCTTGTGTCTTCCAATACTTTGCAATGAGTATTCTTGCTGCTGTTGTGGCATACATAAAAAAAGTTCTGTCCTTCTTTGGCACCAATTGGCCGACTATGCCTAGGAGAAATGCCTCTGGTTTCTTCAAGAAGGTATATTTAAATACCTTTTTCAATTCATTATATATCATCTCCCAGAAAGCCTTAATCCTTGGGCACGTCCACCAAAGGTGGAAGAATGTACCTTCAGTTTCTTTACATTTCCAGCATTTATTATCGGGCAAATGATAAATTTTTGCAAGCTTGACTGGGGTCATGTACCACCTGTATATCATTTTCATAATATTCTCTCTTAAGGCATTGCATGCCGTAAACTTCATACCTGTGGTCCATAACTGTTCCCAGTCAGCCATCATTATGTTATGTCCAACATCTTGTGCCCATTTAATCATAGCAGATTTCACCGTTTCATCCTGAGTATTCCATTTCAACAGCAAGTTATACATTTTTGACAAAATCTTAGTTTTGGGTTCTAACAGTTCTGTTTCTAATTTTGATTTTTCCACCTGGAAGCCAATTTTCTTGTCCAAATTATATGCCTCCATTATCTGATAATAATGAAGCCAATCTCGCACTTTGTTTTTTAATTTCTCAAAACTCTGCAATTTCAGTTTATCTCTGTCTTGTTCCAAAATTTCCCAATATTTTGGCCATTTGGCCTCCATATTGAGCTTTTTCAGAGCTTTTGCTTCCATCGGTGACAGCCACCTTGGAGTTTTATTTTCCAATAAGTCCTTGTATCTTATCCAGACATTAAACAATGCTTTCCTGACAATGTGATTTTTAAATGCTTTATGTGCTTTGACCTTATCATACCACAGATATGCATGCCATCCAAATACATTGTTGAACCCTTCTAGATCCAAAATGTCAGTGTTTTCAAGAAGCAACCATTCTTTCAACCAGCAAAAAGCTGCTGATTCATAGTAAAGTTTAAAGTCTGGCAGGGCAAATCCACCTCGTTCCTTTGCATCTGTTAATATTTTAAATTTTATTCTAGGCTTCTTGCCCTGCCAAACAAATTTAGAAATATCTCTCTGCCACCTCTTGAAACAGTCCATTTTGTCCACAATTTGCAGTGTTTGAAACAAAAACAACATTCTAGGCAATACATTCATTTTTACCGCAGCAATACGGCCCAGCAGTGAAAGCTTCAAATTTGACCAAATTTCTAAATCTTTTTTCACTTCAGCCCAGCATTTTTCATAATTGTCTTTAAATAAATTACCATTTTTTGCTGTCATGTTAATCCCCAAGTATTTAACTTTCTTAACCACTGTTAAACCTGTCTCATTCTGAAACGTCTCTCTCTCCATTGGTGTTAAATTTTTCTCTAAAACCTTGGTCTTTAACTTATTCAACTTAAATCCTGCAACTTGACCAAATTCTTGAATCAGTTCTAAAACTCTTTTGGTACTAGATTCTGGCTCCTGTAACGTCAATACTAAGTCATCTGCAAATGCTCTCAATTTGTACTGTTTAGCTCCGACCTGTATACCTTTAACCTTCTAATATATACCTTCTAATCATGTTCAGCAGAACCTCCAGGACCGATATAAAAAGCAATGGAGAAATTGGGCAACCTTGTCTTGTCCCTTTTTCTATCCTAAATTCTTCAGTCACCACATTATTTACAGTTAGTTTAGCCTTTTGTTCTGAATAAATTGCACTTATACCGTTTTCAAAACCTTGGCCTACCCCCATCCCCTGTAGGTTCTTCTTCATAAAACTCCAAGAGATATTGTCAAAAGCTTTCTCCGCGTCCACAAATATCAAAACTGCTTTAGTATTTATGTTACTTCTAGTTTTTCCAAAATATCAATTATATTCCTCAAATTATCGGACAAGTGTCTTCCCGGGAGAAAGCCCGCTTGGTCTTTATGAATCTCTTCCATCAATACTTTTTTCAATCTCTTGGCCAAAATGTCTGCAAAAATTTTGTAATCCACATTAAGTAACGATATGGGGCGGTAGTTCTTAAGCTGAGTCTTTTCAGTCTCTGTCTTCGGTATAAGTGTAATGTACGCCTCTTTCCAAGACTCTGGTGCCCTTTTCCCTTCCAATATTTCATTGCAGACTTCCTTTAAAGGTTGTAATAGCCACTCTTTCAAAGATCTATAATATCTAGAAGTCAGCCGATCCGGTCCTGGAGATTTGCCTAATTGCATGTTTTGAATGGCACCTTCTACTTCCTGTTCAGATATTTTATAGTTCAACATTAATTTACTTTCTTGGGATATTTTTTGTAATCCATTTGTCTTCAAAAATTGGTCTATATCCATTTCTTTCTGTGGCCCTTGTGTATATAGTTGTTTAAAATACCTCTGGAAACAGTTTCTAATCTCAATTGGGTTATGTATATTCTTTCCTTCCACTTCTAAATTTGTAATGGTATTTAATTTTTGTCTTTTTTTCATTTACCAGGCCAGCAATTTCCCACATTTGTTAGCTGATTCAAATGTTTTTGTCTCATTTGTTTAATTTTCCATTCTATTTCCTGATTCATCATTTCCATATATTGTACTTGATATAACTTTATTTCTCTCAAAATCTCCTGCGACTTTGGTTTTGCTCTCAATTTCTTTTCACTTTCTTTTATTTTCCCCAAAATTTTATCTTTCTTCTCATTTTGTCGTCTCTTCTTTATTGCATTCTGTTGCAAATTTTTTTTAAGCACAAAATTCTATTATCTAAAATAAAATGCTTATTAGTAGAGCTAGAAATTACATTTGGATGGTCAGTTCCGAATGAGGTCACACCCACACCCCATTTAAAAGCACATTTTATAGCACTTTAAAAGACTTGCCTTTCCCCAAAGAATCTTGGGAACTGTAGTTTATCCCTCACAAAACTACAATTCCCAGCTCCAAGTAATTGAGGCACAACTTTGAATGGATCATGCATTCAACTCAGATCATGTATTCAATTTGTGTTGTTAGGCTTTAGTACATCGAAGGTGTATCACACTCTCGTAGGCTCATGTATTATATTTCTGACTCTGTGTAAAACTGCTTCATCTCTACTGTATTAGATATACCATGTTTCCAGGCCACTACATGCATCTTGTAAAGTAGGCTTAGGCTAACATTTCAAGCTTAATAAATGTCTTAGTCTTTTAAAAAGTGCTTCAGAACTCTTTAATCTACTGCAGCAAAAATTTGCAGTGGTCTATTTTCTCTTGGTACCACCTATTGTTTTGTCAATCCAGAGCTGTAGCAAGTGTACCAGTGTAACATTTTGTCTCACTACTCTGTTTTAATCTGAAAGGGAATAAAAACCCCCCCACATGTTCATATTGTGAAACTATAAATAACTTTTTTTAAAAAATTACAGGTTCCTGTTACATTGCTTGTTTTTGCAATACTGATCAGTTCTCATTCCTTTCACAAGCAAAACATATTAACAACTCCATGAATGCTTAAGAAAACTAAAAAGAGAGTTCTAACTGTGCTATTTGCATTTGAAAACAATATAGAATAATAAAGGATGAGCAGTAGGACAAGCACTAAGAGATTAAGAAAAGAGAAAAGGCCCAAAATAACTTAAATATAGACAAGCAGGAGATAGGAGTAAACAAGAGGCCTGGTGGAAATTGGGAAGGGGAGAGGATTGCAGGGAAAATATAACT